GTCGTTGTGATGGTCTGTGTGGGGTCTTTATCAGAGCGTCCCTGTTAAATCACTACTGTGAGCTGGATGTTCTTAGTGGCAACAGCTTGTTCACACAAAACACAATGGGAATAGGAAAAACGGAAATAGGAGAAACAAAAACAGAAATGGGAAAAACAAAAATGGAAAAAGGGTAAAAATGAAAACAGAAATAGGGAAAAATGAAAAAGGAAGTAGGAAAAATGAAAAAGAAACTAGGAAAAACAGAAACGAAAATGGAAATAGGAAAAACAGAAACGAAAATGGAAATAGGAAAAACAGAAACAAAAATGGAAATAGGAAAAACAGAAACGAAAATGGAAATAGGAAAAACAGAAACGGAAATGGAAATAGAAAAAACAGAAACGGAAAATAGGAAATAGGAGAAATGGAAATAGGAAAAACAGAAACAGAAAAGGGGAAAAGTGAAAACGGAAATAGGAAAAACAGAAACGGAAATGAGGAAAAAAGAAAATGGAAATAGGAAAAACGGAAATAGGAGAAACAAAAACGGAAATAGGAGAAACAGAAATGGGAAAAACAAAAAGGGGAAAAACAAAAACAGAAATTGGAAAAACGGAAATGAGGAAAAACGGAAATGAGGAAAAAAGAAAATGGAAATAGGAAAAACACAATGGTAATAGGAAAAACAGAAATAGGAGGGAAAAAAAGGGGAAAAACGAAAACAGAAATAGGAAAAACAGAAATGAGGAAAAACGGAAATGAGGAAAAAAGAAAATGGAAATAGGAAAAACACAATGGTAATAGGAAAAACGGAAATAGGAGAAACAAAAACAGAAATAGGGAAAAACAGAAATGGAAATAGGAGAAACGGGGAAAAACAAACAACGTAAATAGGGAAAAATGAAAACGTAAATAGGGAAAAATGAAAACGGAAATAGGGAAAACGGAAATAGGAAAAAAGAAAACAGAAATAGGAAAAACGGAAATGGAAATAGAAAAAACAGAAACGGAAATAGGAAAAACGGAAATAGGAGAAACAAAAACGGAAATAGGAAAAACAAAAAGTGGAAAAACGGAAATGAGGAAAAACGGAAATGAGGAAAAAAGAAAATGGAAATAGGAAAAACGGAAATAGGAGAAACAAAAATGGAAATAGGAGAAACAGAAATGGGAATAGGAAAAACAGAAACGGAAATAGGAAAAACAAAAAGGGGAAAAACGGAAATAGGAAAAACGGAAATGAGGAAAAAGAAAATGGAAATAGGAAAAACACAATGGTAATAGGAAAAACGGAAATAGGAGAAACAAAAACATAAATAGGGAAAAACAGAAATGGAAATAGGAGAAACGGGGAAAAACAAAAAACGAAAATAGGGAAAAATGAAAACAAAAATAGGGAAAAATGAAAACGGAAACAGGAAAAATGAAAACGGAATTAAGAAAAAAGAAAACAGAAATAGGAAAAACGAAAATGGAAATTGAACATATAAATGAGTTAGTCATGTGATGGCAAGGAGAGGAGGTGGGGCTGGATGGACAGGTTAACACAGCTTTGTACTTAACTTTCTTTTTCAAAAACATGACAGGTTACATGTGTATGAATGAGAGAGAGACATCTGTAACAGCTAAGGTACAAGGGTGAGAGGTGGTGAAGGTGGATGACTTTAAATGAGAAAGGTGAAGAAGAAAGTTCAGGCAGGGTGGAGACGAGTGTCCAGTTCTGACACAAAGAAAGCTAAGGTTGACATGGTAACATGACCTGCTCTGAGGTGTGGTTTGGAGATGGTGACCAGAATGGACAGGATTAGAAACAGGGATGTATCAGCACCTGAGATGGTTTGCACCTGTGCAGAGGAAGGATGAAACAAACATTATGTTCCCTGAACTCTAACCAGCTGTTCACTATAGTAATCAGTTACTAGTTGCATTACAGGGTAACTACTGAAAAAGTAATATGTAACATTACAGGGTAACTAATGAGAAAGCAATATGTTACATTACAGGGCAACTAATGAGAAAGTAATATGTTACATTACAGGGTAACTAATGAGTAATCAATATGT